GACTTGATTCTTAGATGGAAATCTTTGAAAACCAAATTTCCCGCGAAATTTTGGTGGCCAAGTTCAAAGTTGACTGAACCCGTCAACAGTTGACTTTTTGACATTTTGACCCGTTGACTTTTAATCTGTCCCAAACTTGACTATGGAAGCTACATCTTCCAAAAGACCAAGAAAAACCAAATCATCCGCCCGCCGTCGGAAGCCTAGATCTCCATCACCTCCATCCAGATCTCCTTCACCTCCATCTAGGTCCCCAACACCCCCAGCCGACCCGTCTCATTTTGGTGTCGTATGTCTTGGCCCAGTTCAACAGGGAAAACTTGAGTCATTCCTTAAACGAGGTCATGCCATCCAAAAATTCGCGCATGTTCCAACTTTGAAAGAGTTGCATGTTTACAATCAAGTCAAAACCCTGTTTCGCAACATAGGGTGGCACGGCTTGTTGAGGGTCCATGGATTGAGCTATAAAGTCCCAACTGCTGAGTTTCTATCCTCAGTTTATTTAGATCATGGGATCCTCTACTTCCGTCTAATGAATCAAGACTATGAGATCTCCTTGGATCAAATCAATGCCATTTTGGGGGCCCCAACGGAAAACACATTTGGCCCCACTGATCCAATCCAAGGATACTATGACATGACTTGGTGGACCCAGCTCACCCAATTACATCCATATGTCTCTAGCGCTGCTAAATCCTCATCACTTATCCATCCTGTGATTGAGGTAGCTCACAGAATCATTGCTTCGCTCGTCGCCCCTAGAGAGGAGCGAAGCACCATTAGCGCGCTGGAACTTAAAATCCTTTATGCAATGACCCATCCCGAGAATAACCTCATTCCTCATTATGGTCGGTTTCTGTGCCACAAGCTCATCCGCCTTAGCGCATCCCGATCAGGAAAGATTGTTTGTGAGGGTATTGTCAGCATGCTCGCCAAGAGCGCCCACATCCGAGCCCCATACCCCGGTCCCCACCAGCCACTGCCGGGTGAGCCTTATCTCACCACCGCTATCCTTAAGTCCATGCGACTCTTCCGCTTGGCAGGCGATGGTACACACCACTGGACCGTGGGTCAAAATCATGATCCCAAGCTCCTCATCACACTAGAAAATAAAGGCATTCTTGATTTCCGAAATCCCATTCATATGACTGATTGGCAAATCATTCCATACATCTTCCCCCACTCTTATTCCACCGAGGTCGATGAGAAAAGCGAAGAAAACGAGGAAGAAGGTGATGATGATGAAGAAGAGGAGGAGCCTCACCATGCTTCTCCCACCGGTGGTGGCAGCTCATCCCATTTTGCTGCACCCCCGCCTTATCATCAACAATATATGGACGAATTCCAATCAATCCATACCCGCCTCGACACCTATCAGTAGGATATTACCAGCCTGACCCAGAATTTTTCCACCTTCACCACCCAGTACGCTCGGGATCAAGAGCGTCAACGCAAACATGAGGAGGACTTCTGGGCTTGGACCCGAAACCCCAGCTACTATCCTCCTCCGCCACCTCCGTTTTAGGTTGTTCCACCCTCTCCAAGCATCGGGGACGATGCTTATCTTTAAGCTTGGGGAGGGGTAGACTTGTATTTTAGGTTCACTCATTCTCATACATGCATTTTCTTATTTTCAAATTTCATCCAAAAAAAAAAGTGTACGAGATGATGACACTCTTTACATACAATTGCTCCATGAAATGAAAAATACCGAAGCAACCGGATTGTTACCAGAAGCATAGAATCAGCTGTCATAACTAGGGGACCCAAATATCGTAATTCGAGACCCTACCCTCAGATAATAAAAAAAAAATTTATATTGAAACGTTTTTTGGGTGGTAATAACAGCTTTAGGATGATTTTCTTTTGAATGTTTAAAAAGAATCTTTATCGGCAACTCTGAACCCACAGAACACGGACCTATTTGTTGACACGCGTTACCCCCGCGGTAACAGAGAGCTTATGTATCAGACCCACACAGTCAAGAATGAAGGAAGGGTACAACTGTCATATCTAGTACCCTAATCAGAATTTCAAATACCAAAACGAAGAAATTCCAAAGAAATTCCAAAGATGAAGATTGAAGAATCCAAATTCAAAACGAAGTACAAATCAAAGCTCAATCAAATCAAAAGCCAACTCAAGTCAAATATGGCGAATGAAGAACTGTGTGATATGATACTTGTGGCTCTCGAAAAAGTGAAAGCATAGGAGCTGAGCCCCTTCGGGTGGGCTCACTGTTTCAGCGAAAGCTGATTCGCCGTGACGGGTTCTTAAGGAGGCGTCGATTCTGATTCTTGGCCATTTAGTCTTAAGGACATGAAATCCGTACTATGTTATTTTCGCCCATAAAGCTTAGTAAGGTATAAAGATTAAATAAAACTTTGGTTGGATTATTGGGTTACACCGTTTCGGGTCTTCCTCACATTGAGAGTCTGTGATATGTGGAAGGAAACAGGATGGTTGCCAAGGTATCAATGATCGAAGCCCTATTGATGTAAAGTCTGATCGTACCTTTATTTAGTTACAAAAGTACATATTTTGTGTTTGTTCTTAATTTTCTTTTCTTTTGCTTCATTTTGTTTCTCAGGTGCATTTTGAACATATTTTCATGGCATTGCATTGCATGCATTCATTCTTAACCTTTAGGATCCTTCATCCCCTTTTCGTTCTAAGTTTTTCTTTTTGCCATCTAGAAATCGTCCTGTTGTCCGGTTCTTGTTCTTTCTTGAGGACAAGAAAGGTCTAAGCTTGGGGAGATTTGTTAGGTGCTATTGTGCACCTTTTTGCACACCTTTTAGTCCCATTTTATGCATATATTTAGCACAATTGTTCTTCCTTTTCCTTGCATTTTATCATATTCATTTTAGTCTCTAGAACAACCTTATTTGCACACTTTTATATCTTTTTCAGGTAAACCGGAGGTTGGAACGCGCTTTGGGAAGTGTCGGGAAGCATTGGTGGAGATTTCGGGACGATCCGGCGAAGAACTAAAAAGTTGGAAAAATCAAGTTTGGAATTGGAGTCAGAGAGGTACACGGGGCGTGTTGAATTTACACTGAAAAGTGGGCACGGGGCGTGTTTGACCAAAATGGGAGCTGTTGACCATGATGAACACGACCCGTGTCAGTTTAGTGCAAATCAACACGGGGCGTGTTGCTGAACACGACCCGTGTCAGTTTAGCCTATTTTAACACGGGCCGTGTTCGACCCAGAAACCAACTTTTGGCAGTTTTTCCTATCTTTCATATTACGGGTGGAGGGTTATTTGGACATAAGCAG